GAAAGCAAAATAAAACCATTACAAAACAAAAGATTGTCATTATTACAACTAGGTGAATGGAGCGAAGATCATATACAATGAAATAAATACAAGATAAAAACAACATCCCTCCCGAATAATTAATGAGTATGAGAAGTCATTTCAAATCCTCCAAATCGGACTGGACGGGATTTCAAAGTCCTTGCAATTAGTTCCAGTCCTCGGCTTCGCCTCGGACTGGAACTAATTGCGCGGACTTGAAATCCCGTCCTGTCCTCATTGTCGGATTTGAAATATTACTTCACATTCAAATGTATATACAGCTATTTTATAAAATGTTGAATGCTGCATACTGAATAGCGCAACACAGGTTTAGAATTATTGCTAAATTGTAAAAAAAACATTCTGTACTTACATAAAATACAGTCAGTATCTAAAATATGTACCTTAAATCTAAACTTGGCTTCCAAAAGACTGTTGTTATCTGCCACAATGACATAAGTTGCTATTCACTATTCACTATTAAGTATGCAGTATTCAACGTCTTTTGAAATAGTTGCATACATAGGTAATAGTTGTACAACAGTGTTAACAAAAAATAATTAAATTATAAGATCATTATTTGTAACATCAATATCATGTTCCACCAAAGATGAACTCAAGAGCAGCTTGTACGTTGCCTCCAGTTGCTCTGAGTGCTCGTAAACTAACTTCATCATCTGTGATGCCCATGTCGCGTAGTTGCTGAAGCTGGTTCTGAATCACATTATCATAACAGTATTAAAATAGGCAAATGTACTAACATACATGTCAAAAACCTACTCCACTTAAATCCACCAGTTGTGTCAAAATCAGTTGCAGCTCATAATTGTTTATTGCACCTTAGGGATATACCATATTTCAACAGCGTTAACTAACTGGAATAACCATGTTGGCTACACGGTGGCTTAATAAAGTTGACTATATTATAAAAATTGGATATTTTATAAAGATTCATATGGAAAAAAATGGGAGTTCTTTTTCAAATTGACACAACTGCTTGTTTAAAGGGAGGTTTGACTGATAAGAATTGGCTAGTTTTATCAAAATAAGAAAAACTACAAGTAGTTAGATTAAGAAATTATTAAAAATAATTTACCTGCAATTGAGCATTGCTTGGTGGTTCAGTGTTGGGTGAATTGCTAGTATTAACAGCAGCAGTTGCGGCAGCAGCAGCTGCACGACCAGACAGGGCAGTAGTTATTGCGTCAGTAAACATGTCTCTAGTAACCCGCTGTGGGGTTCCTGTACTTCTTGATGGCCCTGCACAAATAAGACACACAAATTGGGTATGAATACAAGGAGTACTGGTAGATAGTATTACTTTACTTAGAAACACTGGGTATTACCCTGAATTATTACTAAAGAATTGATGACATGCATTGAACCAAACGATGGCACAATTTTATCTAACCTTGAAAAAGCCTCTGGGCTGAACAATGTAAGGACATAGGTAACTCACAGATTAAACCCTGAAACAACCTCTGGGCTGATTTAAGTCAGGGCATGGCTAACTCACAGATCGAACCCTGAAACAAACTCTGGGCTGATCTAAGTCAGGGCATGGCTAACTCACAGATTAAACCCTGAAACAACCTCTGTTTTGATCAAAGTCAGGGCACGGCTAACTCACAGATTAAACCCTGAAACAACCTCTGGGCTGATCTAAGTCAGGGCATGGCTAACTCACAGATCAAACCCTGAAACAACCTCTGGGCTGATCTAAGTCAGGGCATCAAAAAATCAGAATTATTAAGTGTTTTAGTTCTGCAGAGGGAGGAAAACCAGGGAACCCAAAGAAAAACCCACAAATCAAGAGAGAGACCTGACAAAGTGTTGTGACTACTGTACCTTCTGTTGGTGATGACGAAGGTAGTCCTGCACTAGCCAGAGCAGATTGTAACATAGATGGTGTTACAGGCACAGGTCGACCAGATGCCTGAATGACTTCTTCTCTTGCTGCGATCATTTCTGCACGAGCCAACACCTATAGTTTAGTGGAAATTCAACATAAATTCTTTATTATATAAGTTATAGAGTTGAGGTATTTAGGGCACACTGGAATAATAGGGTTTTGGAACATCTATCTCACAAGAAGAGGCTTAATACTGTACCACAGTATTACTTTAAGGTTATGATCATTGAAGCTTGAACTAGAAAAGTACTTACTCCCCACATTTCCTCCCTCTGCAAAAATTAATCTTTTATACTCTAATTTCATCTTTTGGGGACCTTGACAATATTGTGTTCTAGTATAAATACACAGGTGATTATTGAAAATCTCGCGGGTTGATTGGTTGAGAAACTCACACTATCACACGATAATCACCTCCAACAATAATCCAAAATGGTGGCCAGCCACTTTGTTGCTGTTACCAGGAAAAAAGGTGTCTTTTATCTTTTTTTTTTATTTTGAAAGAATCACCTGTGTATTTATACTAAAACAATTATTCACCTCAGGCTCAGTGAATATTGAAAATAATAACCTCAACTTTGTTTCGGTTATTGTTCCCCGATATTCACTTCACCTTCAGTGAATAATTGTTAAGTAAAACCAGATTCTCCTCCCCCAACCATTCAAGGAAGTGAATTAAATATGGATAAAACTAAATTACATTTCCCACTGATAAATTGAATGCAATGAAAAGACTGACCCCTGGTTCTACATCAGGCATGTCTTCATCAGATTCATCAGCAGCAAGTATACTTCTAACATTCTGTAGTCCAGATCTACCCTGCCCTCCTTCTGTAGCTGTAGCAGCTGCGATGTATGATGCAGCTTCAACTAGACTTGGATGCTGTTGAACCACTCTAAAAGGGAAAACATCTTTCAAAATCATTATTTCACTATGGATCTGCATGTAGGCCTAGTCATCAATCATGTACAGTAGTTCCAGAAAATGACCATACTTTTACATGTGGGAGAATCCATCTTATGCTCTTCCCACAACTAAGCACCATAAAATCCCCATTATAAGCCCTGGGCTTAAACCATCATCCTTTTCCACTATTGCATCGCTATTTGCATTGCGTTTTGTATTGCGTTTTGCATTGCTATTTGCATCACTATTTGCATTGTTATTTGCAAGGATTTTAAAGTATTTTCCATGCCTCAGATTTTCCTTATTTTACAAATCTCGTAAGGAAATGTTCCTGGAACTACACACTGTGTCCATCAACAGCAAAAACAAAACAAAAATGATCGATTAATTCTTCTCTAAGATGCATGTTTAGTGCTTACTGTTCAATGTCAGCTGTTTCTATAACTTGTTGAAGAAGTTCTTGGTCTTGAAGGAGAGCTAACAACAAAACAGTAATCATTTGAATTCATTTCAAATTGAAACATTCCACTACAATCACTTCACAATATACTAATAATGTATCATGTTGAAGTATATTTTTTCTAAGCAAAGTCTTTCTATTAATTGAGTTCTATAGATTTGATTGGGAGAGAGCCTTCAATATAAACCCATATTGTTGGCTGAGAATTACCTCAGGATAGGAATCGCTATACAAAGCTTATTGCAATCTTGAGTTTCCAATACAAGTTTATATTGATGGTGTTGGTAGAAAATATATCCCGTATTGGCCTTTGTCTCTCAAATGCTCAATCACAGCACCTTAATGCCAATGGCATAGTACAGCTGTACTATGAGTTTTGATTATATAATAACTATATGAAATCTACCCTATTCTCAAAAATCAAAGCCTTTCTTACCCATAGCTGTGAGGTCCTTTGAAAGACCTGGAGTAGCTGCCACTAGCTGTTCCATCATCTCGGGATTGGTAAGAATTTTTTCAACCTAAAAATTTAATTAAAATGACCTTTCAATTTTATCAAGGTTATCTAAATCAACATGAAATTTAGCATGTCTGTTTTATGGGGGAGGGGGGGGGGGGAACTGGAAGAAAAGAAACTTGGAGAAAGCTCCTTGAATCAGGTTATAGAGGCAACAACCTCTACTCACTTGCCATGTGTCCTCCAGGATTTGAACCAGAGACCCTATAAGTGAGTGTGCTACCTCTATATAACCATAAGTCTTAATAATACAGGTGTTAAAATAACGATCGGACATCGGAACATGCTTGCCCAGAATTGCAACATGTCCGGTCAAATCTTTCTTTTTAAACCAGAAACGAAGTATAACTGAGCTAACACTAATTTAGCAGGTCATCAAGACTGGCAACTTACTGTGGTTCTGTAGGCTGGACTTTTAATGGCTGCTTCAAGAACTTGCATGACATTTTCTATGGAAGCACCACTACCTTCAGGTTCTAAAATAATACAGAATTAATTATCATATCTATTTTTTATATTCTCACTGATCTTTACCCAATTTCTTTTCCTTAATTCATCCATTTCTAATCTCTTACTATGTTTCTACCTTCATCCATTCATTCATCCCCCTCTCATTCCCTTCATCATGACATTCATCATTCCATCCCATCTGTCTGTCATTAATCCATCAATTAAGTATCTTTCATTCCTTCCTCCCTTCCCTCCATTCATTCATTTGTTTATAGTACTTTTATCACTCCATCCTATCCTTTCTCCCTTCTTTCAATATTTTCGTTTCCATAAGCCATGTAAAACCTACACGACTACAACAGACTTACCAGTTGGTTCTATTTGTGGAAATTTTCTCACGACATGGACAGTACAACCATCTTGTATCCCATAACTTGACAAGGCCATGTTATCTTTCATTAATTGTCCCCCATATATCAAATCTAGAGCAAATAAGATTAATCCTCTTTCAATTCTCAACATATAAGAATCCTACTCGACGTTAAGAAAGGACAGAGATTGCCGACTTACTTTGTTCTACTACGGGAATATTCATAACCTTTGAAGCTCTGTCTTTCAACTCACAAACCTTTTCACTCCATTCTATACCTTCCACTTGATGTTTTTGAAGACTAGTTGCCTCTTTTAAACGAATAAATGGCATATTTTTAACTTATGTTTTCAATATTTTGATTTTTCTATTTAAAAAAATTTTCTTATTCTGTAACCGCGCAACTGTAAAAGTCGAGGAGGACTGGGGCTACAAAATGATTGGATAATCTTAAATTTGCATAAATTTAAATAAAGATTCACAGGACCGCGCGGCTTCCATATTATAAAAGAAATAGCACTAGTATCCTATTGGTTGGAATAAAAGGGCGGCATTTCACCCTTTGATCAGATTCGAAATCATCACGTCATTTCATTTCAATTTTTCGAAAGAAATGAAGGAATTTGGTCATTGTTAGTTGAAGATCTTAACCTTATTATGATGGAAAAGCAGTTTGATGTTTCAGATGTTGTGTGGGCGAGAGCTAGAAAGCCAAAAATCGAGATATTTTGGCCTGCACAGGTAAGATTTATTGATCCAAATTTTTGTTTGGTCTGTAGAGTTTATTCAGGAAATAATATTGACAGCTTTGATTGATCTTAAGCTTATATTACTGCAATTTACCTCATCTCATTTACTTCATACGTGCATAAAAACAAAGCATTATTAAAGAAGCTATATAAAAATATACAAGTTTTACTAGTAAACTAACTATCAAAAGATTTAGGGTGAGATGCTGGAATATTAAGGTTTGTCTGGAATGTTTACAGGTCGTTGAAACTGAGAAAGCTTCAATAAGATCTAAAAAGAAAGTTATTGCAAGTGTGAAATTTCTTGGAGAAGACACATAGTAAGTGTTGAAAACAGTAGATGTTTGTGTCCAAGTTGCTGTCCATATACTCATCAGATTGACATGTGCCACATGTATGTATGCCATTCTAACAATATACACCATTCTTTGATAAGAGTTTATATAAGTTTATATTTTAAGTTATGAAGTTTATATAATCAAAAAGAAAAAAGAGGGGGTGTACAGTAATGTTAGTGCACTTTCATTCATAGATTCTGCATCACATGTGATGAGAGTTTTTTAAGTCTCCTTCAGGGTTTTCATGAACGGTTGGAAATCAGACAATGCTCAAGCTGAGCAAAATTCTTCAGCTCAAACTACCACAATTAAGTTATTTGTAAAATAGTAATGATGAAAAGGTAAATTATACACCGTGAAAAGATGAAAAAACTTACTGACGTTTCGGACGCTAGTCCTTCGTCGGAGCTCTTTTACTCCGACGAAGGACTAGCGTCCGAAACGTCAGTAAGTTTTTTCATCTTTTCACGGTGTATAATTTACCTTTTCATCATTACTGTTTCATTAGAAACACCGACGCAGCTCACACTAGTTTTTAGCTAGTTATATCTTTTTATTTGTAAAATGCTCACTTGGTCCCCAGGACTCTCTGGTAGTTCATGATCTTTTCCTATTATTTCAAAACTTAATGGAGACCTCATCCCTTGATTTGAGTACGTCACAGGGTTCTCTTAGGCCAAACAAAAAAATAAGTGTGTTTCCTGTTGCATGAGAAAAATTGGGGTCGATAGGTTGGATTTTTTTTACTGATACAACAGTGGAAATGAGCTTACTGGGAACCCTGTGGTGCATTTGGGAATGATAAAAATATTATGGTAGGCAAAAATCGGCAAGAAAATTAGGGTTGGTTGCGCAACAGGAAACACTTATTTTTTTGTTTGTCCTTATCATATTTTTACAGTGAAAATATTAAAGACGCCAAGGACATCATGGAGTGGGATTGTAAAGAGCAGCATGATCTAATCCACAGTGGAAGAGGTAACCTCATTGATGTATCTCTCACTGGATTTTTTTAGATTTATCTTTAGTACACATGTTTAATATGTCTGTCGTTAATAGCTATGTTTTCTTTTATTGATTTAGCCTCTATTAAAGCACCACAAAAGAAGATTTGTTTTAACAAGGGTATTGCTGAAGCAAGAAGATTGTTTGGTAAGATTTAATGAATCAGATATTTGCAATTTTCCTTCTACTGTACCTCATACACTCTCTTATTCACACACCCATGCTTCTAACCCCATCCCTTCTTTCCGACATTTGGTCCTTGCTCTCACTTCAAACTTCCTCACTCCGCTATCAAGTTACTTAGTTAGTTTTCGTACTCTTTATCGACTCACTCACTTGCCCACCAATTCACTGACTTAAATAATAAATAACATTGAGAGAACAATCAATCAAATAATTATGAGAGAGTCAAGGAGTCACTCTTACACTCTGATACTCTTTTTGCCTTGTTACTATATATTTTACTACTTCCTTAACTTAGTGGGTGAAGAGCTTTAAGTTCAATTAAACTGAATTCAATTTAATTTACATTTCATATTTTTTTAGCTGAGAATAAAGGAATTACGAGTGATGACAAAAACAAAACCCTTAATGAAGCAGCAACATCCAGCAAGGGAAAAAAGTCTAGTGAAATAAGTGTAAAACAAAATAACAAAACTGGTGCTCATGAAAGACTAAATATGAATGATTCGAAAGAGTTCAAAACAAACAGTGATGAGCCAAAGGTTAAACGTTCTAAAGGTATTATTTGTGAAAATTTGGTAAGAAGAACAAGTCCAAGAAAAGCACCAGTTAAGAAAGAGGAAGTACATGTAAATAAAAGAAATTCTGTGACTGCTAAAGAAGTTTCAAATGCAAAAGAAAGATCAACACAGTTTGTTGGGAAAGCTAATGAAAATATGAAGAATGAAATAGCTGCTAAGAACAGTCCAGTTTCAAAGAGAAAGAGAAAAAGACAAGAAGTTATAAAACAAAATAGATTTAGTGCTGCTACACTTGAAAGTACAAATGAAGAATTAAATGACTCTGAATCTCCAGTAAAATTATCGAAGAAACAAGGAAAAAATGATGCCAAGCAAAAAATAACTGAAAATAAGCAACAGACCAAAAACGTTGATAAAAGAACTTTTCCAAACGATGGCAAGGATGATAATTCTCATAGAATGGAGCAAGGAAATTCTAAAGAAAATAATGATGAAGGAGAATGGGAGTCTGATTCATGTTCAGATGAAGAACTTATGGAAGCAGCTTTGTCACCAAGCTCAAAGGACTTCAAATTTGAATTAAATGATGTGGTGTGGGCAAAGTTATACAGGGATCCATTTTGGCCTGCTCAGGTAGGATTTGGTATAGTGATTATGACCCTTTGGATATCACTCTGCTCTACCAATCAGGAATTAATTTGGCTTTCCTCTCAACCAATCAGCAGCTGGTTCTCTGCTCTCCATTAATCAGTAGTTAAGTACTTCTCTCAGCCAATCACCTGAACATATTTATTATCCAATTATACTCAGTAGAGTGCAAATTTTGCAAAAGAAGGCCTGAAGTGAGTTCAAATATCCTGCAATATTTGTACTCTAAGTTATTTTGTACCATTAAAAAACCAGTTCCTGACAAAGTACTGCAACTATCCACCTGTACTGCACCCTAAAAAGTCTGGTAAGATATTTATATTATACATCTGTTTAATTTTATTATAGGTCAAAAGAATTATTGGTAATAAGAAAGCCAAAAAGATCTATGTACAGTTTCTGGGATATGACAATAAATCCTGGTAAGATTGATTGTTGAAAATCATTTATTGATATGTGATTGAGTTATTGGGTACACAAATGTTAAGAGCAATCCAGTAAAAACAGAAAAAATTATAGATTTGCATAATTATGCTTCTAAGGTAAGAAAGGTAAAGGCCTTATTTAACGTTAGTGCTCCTTTAGCCTAGTAGCTGTTCTTCAAGGGAGCCGAAAGTGCACACATTAAACTACTTTCTCCATCAGTGCTCTGCTTTAGAGCATTCGAAGCCTAAGCTACACATATTAGAGAGAAGTCGAAACAAGTGACATCTAGCTTAGCAGGCAGTGCACTTACAAACTTAGCCACACTTGCCCCTGAAGGCTTTGAATGTCATACTTGCATATGTAAGGATTATGTGTTTTATTTTTAGCTTTTCATGTAAGAGAGTGGTTCCTTTTGCATGTGATTCTGAGAAGAGAGAGGAATTTGTGGTAAGAAAGACCATTTAATATAAGTTATTATTGATAAGTGATGATGGTCCATTAATATAAGTTATTGATGAGAAGAGATAACTAGCTAAAAACTAAGTTGTTGATGATAAGTGATGATGGTCCATTAATATAAGTTATTGATGAGAAGAGATAACTAGCTAAAAACTAAGTTGTTGATGATGGTGATGATGGTGATGAATGGAAATGATGAGGTGTAGACATGGTGATGATGGTGGTGACAATGACAATGGTAATGCTGATAAGCCATTTAAGATATATAGAGGATGATGGTGATGGTGAAAATGTTGGAGTTGATTCACTTAATATTATGATGAAGTTAGTGATGATGATAATAATGACAATGGAATAGGGTCAATAATACTCAATGATCTAGATTTCATAAATCCAAGTTAATAAATTTCATTTTTATGTTACTTTAATAGAAAGATGCTATGGAATTAGATCCTCAGAGATTTGATGAAGCCCTCGTCATGGCAGAAGACATGGTCAGAAGAAAAGGTACATTGATTGCACATGTTCCATCTTTATTTTGTTAACATCAAAATTCTAAACATATCTTTGACTGTTGTGTTTTCAAACCAGCCCTTGGTATCAAAGAGCAGAATGAAGAGGACAAAGAAGGTATTTAACATAAATGCTCATAAATCCATCCATCCATCCATCCATCCATCCATCCATCCATCTATCCACTTACCCTCCCATCCATTTATCATTCAGTCCATTAATCCACTCATCCATATATTCATTCATTCCATCTATTTATTTATTCTTTCACTTGTGCACTTTTCAGTTTGCAAGCTTGTTGATACTGATGATGTCGAAGAAAACAGCAATGACAGCAAAGTGGACACATCAAGTGTTACTGATGACAAACCTGAGAAAGAAACTATTGTCAGAAAATCCAGTCGAAATGTAAAGTAGGTATCATCAGCTGTCTTGAGACACACATAATCCTGCCACGTGTGACACTTCATTTTAGCCACTGAGTGTGTTTCATATATTTTTATCTAAAATAATCTCTGAAATTATTGGTTCACAGAAGACCATCTAAATACAAAGATATCCTGACATACATCAGGGAAGCAAAGGTTTGTGCTTTGTTACTTTAAAGGAAAACATTGTCAAACTAAATTTTCTAAGGCACGTGGCTATGGAGTGTCATGGAAACGCCTTGATTGACGTCCACCAAAACCTACTTCATCGCGATGACGATTCAGCGTGCCTGTGCTTTTGAGGAAGACTTTAATGAGATAGCTCTGATAAAGATAAATTTACCATGAACTTCATTACATGAAGATAATGTATTATTTTGTTTTTACAGCCTTTCCTAAAAGATATATTTGAAGAGAAGAAAGCATGCGAGAGGCATGAAATATTCAAAAAGGGTTCAGCAAAAGAAAAGAATTCCTTGAAACGTCGTTCAGGTTTTGGTCCCGTTGCTGACACCGACCTGGTAAGCTGCATGTCTCAGCGTCTGTCTTGTCATTTCCTTACATCAGGAACCTACTACTTGGAATCTTCTTGGCTTAATCAACACTAAATTTTACCATTTCTTGATTTGATTCTTCTTGATTTTCTTCAAGAAATATCAGCTGCGCTTTGCTCTCTCAACCCACTTTCCAATCATTGGAAATCGGAGTAAAGAATCTTAGGTTTAAAGTAATTACCAAGATTAAGTGTAGCATTGTAGCGTCCAAAGAGAAAAAGTGTAGCGTCAAATTTAACAAACTAACTTTCCCCCGCTTTTTATGACAGGAAGACGACATCATGGAGCTACTGCAGGACTTTTACAGAGAATTGGTTGGAAATAAAGAAGATTTTTCAGAGATAACCTACATCAGTGATGTATGGCTGCCAGAGGTAGGTAAACTAAATAATAATTAAACCTTTAATTATACAGCTTCTCATTAATCTCATATAGGTAACTGTCCAATTATTTTCATAATTGGACAGGTCTCTGTTGATATGGGATTTATTAGGCATCTATATAATTAATATTTCATAAGTGCTATGCGGTCCACATATTCTCATCTTTATATAATTAATAGGTAATGGGATTTCATGCTCCCCAATCAAGAAATAATTGGACTAGAAAAATTCCTCTGGCTGCCAAATTGGACTCGGCCTACGGCCTCATCCAATTTTGGAAGTCCTCGGAATTTTCCTCGTCCAATTATTTGTTAATTGGACAACATGGAGTCCTATTACATATACTAATTTGCTCATGGTGGGGAAACATGTACACAACGGAATCAAAAGAGAAACGATCAAAAGAGACAATACATTTTCATTTTTTCTTATTTATTGTTCTTGTATTTTTCCCTTCAGGCGATCATATACGCAGTACAAAAGATAGAAAGAGTGGACAGAAAAACTGCAGAATATTTGTTTCGACGAGGCTCCAGTCAGGGAACGCGCAGCCATCGTTTCACTCAACGGCTCAAAGCCAAAGCTCTAACCCAAGAAGAAAGAAAAGAGTCCGTACAAAGAGCAGAAAAAAGTTTTCGCATCTCATTGAATCTATAGTTTAAAATGTATATACGATTATTTTTTTAGCCAAGATTCGTTAGCATTATTGTAATGTTCAGCGCAAGTGATGCATGCATGGCACAAAATGACAGTTTTTTGTGCTCAATACAAAATAGCGCTAAACGGTTAGTTTAAAGTTGGTTTGAAGTGTAATTTTTGTCAAACTAGTTACGACTTTTAAAGTGCCCCTTATATTCTCTAACATATATTCTCTAACATCGCAGAGCGTTGTTATTGAACAAGGTCTCGAATTTGTACTTACATTCTTGTGTAAATATATATGCTGTAAATGAAAGTAAGGTTTTACTATGACTGACACCAAGAAATTGCTGACACTGAAAATTAGTTATTGTAAAACAATGACATCCTAAGTAATCAGTACAGATCTGACTTGTACGTGTACAGTAAAAAGCAATTAAAAAAATATTACCGTGAAATTCGGCTCAAAGTGTAGGTTAAGACTACTCGTGAGTCGTACATTAATGGAATGAACTTTCTTGAACTGAAGTGCTGGGATATTAGGCATAAGTGAGGGGCTAACAAAATTAAAAGAAAAAATCGAATTTTCGCTTCAATGCAGATGCTTTTAAATATTTGTACTGCCGAGATTTTCAGGAGCTTTTGTTCGCAGGCAAAAATACCCTAAAGTTAAGTAACGGTCAAGTGACTTTCACCTAATATTCTAGTTTTTAAAGTTCATTAATCTGGACCATACTTCCAGACTGAGTACTGCAAACTGCGCGGGTGGCACCGCGAAGAATATGATCGCGGCTATGCCAAAGATTCCGACATGTACAAATATAAAGTTGTCAGGATTCAACAGTTGTGATTTTCTCATCTTGTTAAAAACGTAGTAATTGCCACAAAACGGCTGAAAACGAGATGCATAAATGCGTGAGCTCACGCTTCATTGCGAACCTCATTTATATTTGTTTTTTATTGAAACAAAAATAACCAGGACCATACTTCCAGACAGCGAGTGCTGAACCGTCGTATGGACTTACGGCTACGCAGGAGATTTCGACCCCAACACCGCTATCCCGGGAGGAATTACAGACTGATCAGGAAGCTCAGCCGAAGCCTAAGGGAGAGGTTAATTAGTCGGCCCCTAGACCATAGATGATCAACCCCTTGCTATGACCAGCAGATCTAGTAATTCGCTTGCGTCGCTGGTGACTTAACATCCATAGTAGCTCCTTTCCATGTGGGATGCGTTTTGAAAAACTTGATTGCGCAAAGAAACCCATAAAAGGGACATATAAAAGGGACATATAAAAGGGACATATAAAAGGGACATATAAAAGGGACATATAAAAGGGACATATAAAAGGGACATATAA